TTTTTTTTTTGAGACAGAGTCTCGCTCTGTTGCCCGGGCTAGAGTGCCGTGGTGTCCGCCTAGCTCACAGCAACCTCAGACTCCTGGGGCTCAAGCCATTCTCCTGCCTCAGCCTCCCAAGTAGCTGGAACTGAAGGCACTCTCCACCATGCCCAGCTAATTTTTTTGTTTGTTTGTTTCTATTTTTAGTGCCCAGCTAATTTTTTTTTATTTTTAGTAGAGATGGGGTCTCCCTGTTGCTCAGGCTGGTCTCAAACTCCTGAGCTCAAGTCATCTTCCCACCTCAGCCTCCCAGACTGCTAGGATTACAGGTGTGAGTCATCACACCCGGCCCAAGTTAAGTATTCTTAAGTGTGCAGTTAATTGAATAGTGTTAAGTATACTCATTTTGTTGTGTGACCAATCTGCAGAAAGTTTTCATCTTCTAATGCTCAAATTTTATACCCATTGAACACCTCATCCCATTTCCCGTTCCTCTCAGCCGTTGGCAAGTACCATTCCACTTCCTTTTTTTGAGTTTGATGACTTTAGGTAACTTATGTAAGATGAATGATATTGTGTTTTTCTTTTTGTTAGTGGCTTTTTGTAGTGTTCCATCCTGAAGTTTCACGCATGTCGTAGCATGGACCGGGATGTCATTTTGTAAGACTCAATAATTTCTCATTGCATCTGTGTTTTTGTTTATTCATTCTTCCATCACTGGACATTAGTGTTGATCCACTTCTTGGCTGTTGTGAACAATGGTTTTCAAATATCTTTCTTTAAGATTCTGCTTTCAGTTCTTTTAAATTGAATGTAAAAGTACTGGGAAGTGACTTGCTGGAATACATGATAATTATTAATGTTTGAGGAACCTACCATACTCTTTTTCTATAAGGGCTGAGCCATTCTATATTCCTTTGAACAATGACATGGGTCCTAACTCACCAAAACTTTTTATTTGGGGTGTTTGAATTCTTTTTTTTGTAGGTGAGACTTAGGAGCTCTTGACCTTGCCACATGATTTGCCAGCATTTTCTCCAGTTTCATGGATTGCCTATATTCTGTGTCGTTAATCTCCTCTGATGCACCAACATTATGAATTTTTTTCTTTTTTTGAGACTGGGTTTTGCCCTGTCA